ACACACACACACACACACACACACACACACACACACACACACACACACAGAGGAGAATGTGTGAAGCTACATCTGTTCAGCAGCCGCCTCGTGTTTCAGAACCGATCTGAAATATCTGATCTTTACCAGGCAGACACAATCATTTTAAAAACACAGTTTAATTGCTCTGTCTTGCACTTTCTGTGTGAATTTACAATAATTAAAAGCATTTTTACAAGTTTACTGTGAAGTTTGTGTATGTACGTTTTTTAAAAAGTGTAGAAGTAAAACGTCTTTAGTGTTTCTGTAAAAGTTTCTTCCAGGCATGAAAACGTTCAGCTTGTTCAAAAACATCACGGTAATGACTTTTGGTATTTGTGACTTTTGTACTTTTTGAAATTTTTAAAATGTGATTTACTTTGTTTTCTTTCTTACTGAAATTCACTTAAATCTAATTTTGGAAAAAAAAAACTTTTTTGCTCTTTGAAATTTATTTCAGCACACTTGCTTCTTTTTTAGCTTTTAGCTACTTATTTGCTAATTTTAGCTTTTAGCTACTTTCTTTCTTATTTAAGTTTTTAGCTATTGTTTTTGTTAACCCTAGTTTTTAGCTACTATTATGCTGGTTGTAAAAAATATCTTTTAGCTACTGTAATGCTAGATTCAGTTTGTAACTATAGTTTTGCCAATTCTAGCTTTTAGATACTGTAATGTTAGTTTCAGTTTGTAACTACAATTTAGCAAATTTTTGCTAAATTTTTGATCCTAGCTTTTAGTTTCCATTTAGCTGGTTTTAGCTTTTAGGCATGCTTTGCTTATTTTAACTTTTAGCTAGTGTTTTGCTAGTAAAGTTTTTAACTACGGTTTGGTTATTTTAGCTGTTAGCCACTGTTTTTCTAGTTTAATTTTAGCTACTGTTTTTCTGGTCTTAGCTTTTAGTTAGTTTAGCAAGTTTTAGCTTTTAGCTATGTGTTTACTTATTTTAGCTTTTGCTATTTTAGCTTTTGGCTACAGTTTTCCTAGTTTAAAGTTTTA